ACCAAAAGCGAACTTTGCTTCCCTGGGACGTAGATGGACCCAGGGGATGGACTCCCTATTTCTGTTGCGCTGATTTGGTACATACTTTTTGTATTTGCGAGGCATATTCATGCATGCGTGTGTGGGTGCGTTCTTGCTTATGCGGATTGTATTCTACGAGTCAATTCGGCCAAACGCCTGCAACCAAATGATTGGAAAGTATATGGGAGGCGATTAGGAGTCGCCTCCAACAAATAAGCTCCATGTCCACTCTGGGAGAGCCTGAAAAGCTACCTGTGAGTATACCAGTCCCACGTTCAGAGCCCAGCAAGCTATACGTGGGTATCAAAAATGCTAAACACAGTAAAAAAAAATGGGCCTCATTCCCCTGACCCCGAAAGAGCACCCAATTTCGTAGCGTTGGGTAGAACGAGTACGGAGAGGCTGCTAAAATCTCAGAGCCAATGGAAGCTGCGTGGATTACAAAGGACTATGCTGACAATCTGTGCCTATAATGCATGTACACTTGCATCCGAGTCCTCGATAAAAGACTTGCTCATGCAAGTAAGAAGGATAAAGTACGACGTCATCGGCCTGGCCGAGATGAGACGACGCCACCCATTCAACGCCGTTTATGACACCGGAAAAGGACTGTTCCTCGGAACATGCGACAATAGAGGAGTCGGCGGCGTCGGCGTTCTCGTCAACACGAGTTTGTCCATGAACATCGATTCATTCGAACAGCTTACAACCCGAATTGGACGTTTACGGCTAAAGAGATGTGGATCAATACCGGATTTGATTACCGTCGTCGTTTACGCACCAACCTCAAATTATGACGAAGAAGAAGTAGAAGCGTTCTATATGGACTTGGAGAAGTTCTTCAGAGAAGACCATCCTTCAAGGTCATCATTGGAGATTTCAACGTCATGACAGGACCAAGCAGAACCTCTGAGGAACGTCACATTGGGACCCATGGATTGGAATGGAATGGACAGGATAGAGGATTATCTGAGTTTATTGTGATGACAAGAACAACCATGATAACTCGCAATTCCAGAAGCGCCACCCTCAACGCTGGATGTGGGAGTCTCCCAATGGAGAGCACCATAACGAAATAGACCACATCATAGTAAATAGAAAATTTTACCTCACCGATTTCGCTGTTGTCTTAAAATTCTACACGGGATCAGACCATCGCCTCCTTCGTGCAAGATTCTATTTCTCGCGGAAAGGATAAAGAGCCTCTAAATTCCAAAACCGAAGTCGCAGGACCACCGCAAACTGGGACTTATTCAATTCATTAGTCGGCTGTTGGGAAGGTGCCATTGTCGATAACATCGACGAAGAATACAATCGGCTCACTGAACATCCTCACGTTAGCGCTATGAAAGCAGAGAGTTCGAAAGTTACCAAAAGACGTCTGTCTCCAAAAGCACTGGAGCTGATACGCCAGCGTGGAATCGCACGAGCTGCATGCAATCGCGAACTAACGTCTGAATTTGCAAAACAATGTAGACAGGCGATAAATGAAGATCTTAATGAGAGTAAAGCAGCAGTAATGGAGTAATAGCCGAAGCTGCAGAGGCTGGGAAAAGCATTCGCAAAGCCCACTGAAGCTTCGCCAGCTACAAAACCAAGATGATTGCATTCCGAAACCCAGACGGAACAGTTACCCCGTCCAGAAAGGCAATGGAGAACATCATTCACGTATACTACTCAGATCTCTTCGATAACCACGTCCACCTTCCATCATATGAAATAAAGGAGAATGGATATGTTGTACCACCGGTTCTTCTTTCCGAAATCTGACGTGCCATTTCGTCGGTGAAAAATCGAACAGTACCAGGTCCAGTCAGGATAAAATCAGAACACCTGAAAAAACTTCTGCTAGTTATCGCAAACACACTGGCTCGGTTCTTCACACGTTACCTGTCTGAATGCAAGGTCCCTACTCAGTGGAAGACCAGCAAGACCGTGTTATTGTTCAAGATGGCAGACCTGCACGATATCGGCAACTATCGCCCATTCTGCCTACTGTCTGTCGTCTACAAACTTTTCACTCGAGTCATCCTAAACAGGATTGACAGAACACTAGACGCAGGACAGCCATGTGAGCAAGCAGGGTTTCGAAGAGGACTTAGTACGATAGACCACATCCACGCGGTCACACGGGTCATTGAAGTATCGCGAGAGTATAACAGACCGCTCTGTCTCCCTTTCATCGATTTACAGAAGGCCTTTGATTCAGCTGAGATGGAAGCAGTCTTGGAAGCCCTTGATAGTCAAGGAGTCCCTACTCAGTGCATAAACATTCTTCGTCAGCTGTACAAAAATTTCATAACCAAGATATCACCATTCTACGGCGATATTGACATTGACGTCAAAGAGGGGTTAGGCAAGGCGATACCATTTTTCGAAAATTATTTACCGCCACTCTCCAGAACGTCATGCGAACATTGGAATAAGATAATATTGGAGTGGAAATCGACGGTCGGCAGTTACACCATCATCGCTTTGCTGATGACATCGTCCTTATAACACCAAACATTAGCTAAGCGGAACTTATGCTTGACGACTTTGATAAAGCATGTGGAAAGATTGGTCTTCGACTAAATCTCACAAAAACGATGTTCATGAAGAACGGATTGGTTTTGTATGTCCCATTCACGCTCAACGGAACTAATATCTCTGAATGCTTCAGTTACATCTATCTAGGTCGGGAAAGCAATATGATGAACGACCGAGCTCCAGAGCTGAGCAGAAGAAAATGGGCGGCTTGAGAAGCTTTCAAGAGCATCGAGGATGTAGTAGAGAAAGCAAAGAACTCCCGACGCCGTACCCACCTTTTCGACTCAACGGTACTACCTGGCCTAACGTATGCGTCAGAGACCTGGTCGCTGCGTGAGCAGCATGAAAGATCGCTCAACGTTATTGAACGCGCAGTCGAAGGAACAATGCTAGGAGTATCCTGTGTCACGCAAGCAAAGGAAGGGATCTAAAACTCCGACCTGCGTCAACGATCGGAAATCAAAGATGCCGTTCTATACGCCAAACCGTCGAAGATGAAGTGGGGCGGACACATAATGCGTATGAGCGACAACCGATGGACAAGAGCCGTTAGTGACCGGATTCCTCGGGATGTCAAACGCACTGCAGGAAGACCACCGACCCGATGGTCAGAGTTCTTCACAAAGAGCCTTGAAGAAAGATATGATGCTCGACAAGTCCCTAGAGCGAGTAGAACCCACTGGGCTACTCTTGCACGCGACAGGGGAAAATGGAAGTTTTACTGGCGCCCGCTCGAGTCACTCGACGATCAGCGGGACTACAGATGATACAGGTGGTATTTATTTATCTATTATTTGTATGTTTTTATTAACTGGTCTTGTTGAGTTGATACGAGGTTGGTATACACCATTGTTGTTGTTGGTCGATGGCTGTCGTTTCGGCGATTTCGCAATGCTCAGAGCCGTGCTGTTACGAGTAGGGCTATATCCAAGTAATAAGTAAGTAACAAATCCTTTTTTGGACAATTTCACTGCTCTTATTTCTATCCAGCTGTGGACATTATCGCGTTTATTGTACTTGCACGAGATTAGAAGCTCAGGCCAATTTCTCGACGCAATAATAAAAAAAAATAGTTGAACAGACTCCAATAAACTTGTATTTAGCTTCCAAAAGGGCTAGGCGCATCTACCTATGTGTTCCTATAATGTAGGCATTGCCGAACTCTAAACAATCTCAAGTTTCATTTTCACAAGCTCAGGTTAACATTATGATTGGTCAACCTTTGCAATTTACTTGCTTACTTTGTAGGGGAGCTTCACATTTAAGGCCTTGTATAAATCATTAATACGAGAGCAGAGCTATTCTTTAGTCGACGCCGGTCACAAGATCTGTGTTAGGTAAGATATCGAATGATTTCAAAAAGTGTGCTGAAAAACCTTTTGAATGTACAATAAGCCACCGAAAACTAAATGGGTTCTAGATGGGTCATTTCCGACTCGTATTTTCGTCCATTCCTTAATCAATCTTACCATGAGTGCTGAATAACATAAGTGATCACAGCGTTAGTATGATTTAATTCATTGCTCCATGAGCGTATAGCTGTTAAACTGAAAATGCTAATAGGCAGTGACATGCATGTTTGCCATGTTATGCGCTTGTATGGAAATCACCAAGTTCGGTTTTCTTGGAAAGCACTAAATAAGCTCCATTTACGTGGGAGTGATCTTTGTTGCTGGAAGTGGAGAAGGTGTTTGTTTCTGCATGTCTTTGTCGCTTCAGGAAAATCAAAAGCATAGGGTGATAATGCTTTATCTTTCATTTTTTGCCTACTATAGTTTATCACAACAGAGTATTAAGCGAAAACCACAACGTTGCTGAGATATTTGCAAAACTCCGGACCGCAGTGTCTGCGGTGGGAAACGAGCAAGCTGTTACCCTTTCCGGGGGCTAACGCGTTCACCACCACACCGTGGGGTTCCTTGGTTTTGCCTGTCTTTCATGGTGATATTTTAGAACGACGTCAAGGTAACCGAAAATGGTTCCTCCCGTGATGAATGCCCAATGAATGCGAAGCTATGACTTTTAGTATGATTTTTAAATTCTGGAATGTCTTCTTTGCTACGATATTAATTCATTAGGTGATCGCGCACTGTTAGAATACCTGGGAACATGGAGGCGGAGCCTGAGTTCTTTACTTTACTTTACTGAATTTCACTGGAGTATTTCATTGGCTTATTGCAGATTCTTGCTATTTTTCCACTGAAAGTGAGGAAACACCGGGTTTTATTAAGCAAGTGCAGCCTGTTGTCGAGTTGAAAAAATCCAACCAGCGTCAAAGTTCAGTGATACGCGTTATTAAAGTCGTGGTACTGCATTATATTAACTAGTGTGTGCGAAATAAATGAGTTTCTTGGCAAAGACGAACGGGCAGATCCATTACTGTTGATGAAGAATGGAGTCGTAAAAGTGTAATTCTTTTATCTTAAATAATTCAATATCAGCAAATGATCTCAGACTTGTCCAGCGACCACACCATCTTCTATTCCACACTCATCCGATCCTCGAAGTATACGGAAGTAACCTTAAGAACCTTATGATTTTATTAAAAGATTAATAATGAGAACATCTCCTTTATTGTTGAAAGTTTGCTTTGACAAAAGGATAAATAGAAATGAATTTGGTTCTTCGTTTTTGGAATCATTTGGTAAATCGCTTGAAAATAACAATAAAAATCAACTCTTTCATTCATGGGAACATTAGATTCTTTTTAGCTGTAATAGTTCTGGCCGCAATAGCTAACGTAAGCCATTCCTTCTAGTCAGATTACTAAACTTCTAGCACTTCTTCTAGCCAAGAAGGATTTTGCTTACCATTCTCTCCCCAGTCAGTATTCCATGAGTTAGCAACCAGCCAGTAGGGGACTCCACCTTGTTGACCCCATCCAAGAATCCTCACGGCGTGACCTCCTTCCGCTTCACCAGAGACATGCTAAATTCTTTGTTGTTAAATATTTGTATACGCGTTTTGCTGAAATGATGCAGTGTTTATCTCATTATATACTAGGAAAAACTTCTCGATTTTCTATTACGACACACCGACATAGTTCGTCTGCTTCTGTAGGAGAAGGTGTCGACCTTTGTTAGAGGCCTAGGCAAACATTTCAACAATCTGGAGACCGATTCACGTTGGAGAATTTTAGCTGAACAACACTTAGAAATTTCAGAAATAGGTGGAAGTTTTAGAAATTTACTGACACAAAGTGAAATGCCCATCATCAAGCAAAATATTTAGACAGTCAACGTTCACGGCTATAACACCCACTCGGTTGAGCTGTTTAATCCATGATATTCTAAGTTTTGGTTGGTGAGATTGTAAGCAGTTTCTGGACCTTTAAACTCTTAAATAACTGGTTTACTTTTTATTAGGAGATAAAAAGGATAAAGCTCTTGGTGTTGAACAATCCTTGAGGGATGCGCCATGCATTCGATTTCATTAAGCATCGTTGGAGGTGAATGAATGCGTATCTGGTCTTTACAGTGACCCGCGATGGCCTACCGATGTATCGAGCCAGCGCTGCTAACCTCCCAGACGAGTTTGGTACCAATTTGCCGACCGCATATGGATGGAAAGCCATGGACGCTGGGATCGACCCCGTGTGTATAGCAGGGCGCCTCCGACCACTGCGCCACAGACCCCTATTTTTTATATTTTTTATTACATACTAATTTAGGATTGATGGATTATAAAACACGGGTATACATCGGAATTCATGAACAACGACGCCCTCTCAGCCCAACGATTAACTTAAAAACGTGCTGTATTTAAAAGCTCCCTGGAATTTTACGCATCCATTCCTGTAACACATTGGCCAAACAGATCGGAAGCTTTTGTTAACCGTTCATCTGGTTTAACGAAGAAGTTATTGCAACAGAACGTGCGCGATAAACTTTATGAGACTCTGTCATTATCATGCACCACAAATACTAAAATGCTTAAATGCCTGGCCTTGACAGGTCGTGCGAACCACTGCACTTATTCCTTTTGTTTTGTTTCCTTGCATTCTTTGAAATGCTTTGAACTCTACTTCAAAATTGGCCGTGTTTTAACAATCACTTCAATGCTAGTCGAGCGTGCTTTCAGCGGAACCGCTTGGGTGCCTTTGACTAGCATTTTATTAGCACGGTAACAATGCTTGCGGGTAGTCGAGTCCTAAGCCAATGAACGCGTCCGATTGAACAGTTTGAATTCCCTGTAAATGCAAACGCTATTCAAATCAGAAACTTTTTACAGTTTCTTTCACCGAATTAAGGCATACCCCAAAACAGAAAGGAAGGTTCTAGGCTACTCTGCAAGTAGGAGTAAACACTAGGCATTTGGTTGTAGCAATGTTAACAGGCCATTAAACGTCTAGACGACAAGGAACGATAAACTTTCACATTGGACAATACCTTGTAAATCCCGGTCTTATAGTAAAAGAAGTCGTCATATACAGTGAAAACTGCGACCACTGGTCCAAAGGTCATAATTTCCTTCTGAATGGCAAGCACTGAGTTCGCAACATCGTACGACGTCTTTCCTGAATGGGATAGTGAGATGCCATCAATAGCGCTGGCATGGTATTTCTATTACTTGCTCGGTCATCTCATTTAAAAAAATTTACTTACCGTACGTTTTGTCGTCGTCGTAAGAAATCGGATACCCGGCTTGACATGTGGTTTTACAATCAGGTGTGTCGACTTCTTGAGTGCAATTACCGTAGAAGGTCTCATTTTTATGAATACCGCACGGTGGGATTTCGTATGGTCTGCATGCGTCCTACAAGAGCAAAGAAACCAGTGTATTGTTGTACTAGAAAAACAACAACGATAA